AAGTGTGGGACACTTAGAGCTTGGTCAGACATCGAAGACACCAAAGTCATCCACTGCATTCTGGGCCATCACCAGTTGTTTTGACTTTTGTCTTGCCACTGGACTTCAATGATTCAGGAAGAGAGTGAGGCTGACGACTTTGTGCAATTCTAACTCACTTAAATCCAATTCACAAGCAAGTCAAGACATCATCTGTGATGTCATTGATGGGTCCTCTTTGAAACCAAAGGACAAACAACAAGACTAGCAGGATACCAAATGGTGCTGATAATTTTGAGATGGTGTGGACATGTTAACTTTAAAGTTTTACTGACAACTTTGAGATGATTTGGATATGTTAATGAACTAACCCCCAAATGGCACAGGTTAAGAGTTAGTATGTTCCCTCACCAAAAACCTATAAAAATGAGACCTCAAACTCCCGCACCCTACCCCACATTCTTCCATCTCAATTGGGTCTATGCTGCTGAGTACTTCCAACTCTAATCCATGGTTACATGAGTTACACTTTTTGACTTTCCCCTCCCCATCCTCTCCCTTACTACTGCCTGTCTTTCTCCACCACCCCATCCCTGTCCCCATGCTATCTTCTTCTGTATCAACCACCCCCTTTCATTGCCTGTCTTTGTGCTTTGTGTGCCATTCATCCCAAAGCCTCTGTGCCTTATTAAATTGTGATTGCAGTCTCACCTCTCACTGCCATTGTGGTCTTCCCTGGAGAATACCTAAAGAACTGGGTATTTCCTAATTACATAAATGAGCAATTCACTCTTTTTCTCTTCACCATTTCATCTCTTCTTTCTCTGTTCAGGAGTAAAGGGAGGGGGAACTCCAGCCGTGTCAAAAAATGTCATAGGATAATAATAACATCTCCCTTGAATGACTGGACATTGGTGTCAATAGAGGACTGAGGTGTAATCAACTCAGTAAATCAAACTTTTTAAGTGGCCTTGGGCTCCTGTTTTGGTCTCTGGTCAAATCTCCATGTGGCTAGGTCACCAGTTGCAGCCAGTCACCAGTTGATTTCTATGCAAATGAGGAGTTCATGCCTCCTAACACAAGTGATTTAACAGGTAGAATGGCACCCAAGCTAGCTTTTGTTCTCAGAAACCACATTTTCCCATGGGAAGTAGAATTGAGGGGTCTATTCTCTTTATCAAATCAGGTGGAAAAACTCAGGTAACTGGAGAGATTTAGATTAAGGGTGAGGAGTAGGGCCCCAAACTAAGGCCTCTCTCAGGGCACTTATGATGGGGTTTTTCTTTCATTCCTGAGTCTTTGTCTAATACTATAGACATAGAGGCAGCTAGGTAGCATAGTGAGTAGACCTGGAGTTAGGAAGACTTGATTTCAAATCTTACCTCAGACATTTTTCCAACCTGTGTGACCTTGGGCAAATCACTTAACTTCTCTGTGCCTCAGTTTCCTCATCTGTAAAATGGCAGTTGGACTCAACGGTTTCAAAGTTCTCTACTATCTCTGAATCACATGATCGTTGTCTATAAAAGACAGGTTAACACTTCCTTACATAGTAAGGATTGGTTTCTTTTGTATTCCCAGTACCGAGGGCAGGAACTATGGCTTCCTTCTGTTAAAGTGTGGCCAAGTATAGTGGGCATAAAGTGCGACTCAGTACTTTTAATTATTCATAGGAAGTAAAGGAGGCCATAGGGTGTACCCCACCCTTGAGGCAACCTCAGCATTTCCTGTCCTAAACCTCACCCAAGGCTTTTCTGTGAAGACAAAGAATCTGAAATGTCATATCTGTACCAGTTCCAGTTCTGCTCACTGACCTATTCCTCATTCTAGAAAATGAAGGGTGGTGGAACAGATGATCTCTGATGTCCTTTTTGGTTATAACACCCTATGACTTTAAATATATGAAATATGGGAAAGTAGACGCTAACCCTTTCCTTTCGCATGCCTCTTAGCCTCCTTCTATGTGGCCAAAGGAGCTTGAAATACTGTGCTGAACCAATTCAATCATAATGATATGAAGTACACTCTCCAGTGTTTATCTCCAGATGAACAGTGGCATTTTTCTTTGCTTCATCTTTAACCTCCGGATTCATGTATTCATCTTATGGAATTCACTTCATTTTCACTTTTTTTTTTAAAGGCAATTGGGGTTAAGTGACTTGCCCAGGGTCACACAGCTAGTAAGCGTCAAGTATTTGGTTTGAGGTCGCATTTGAACTCAGGTCCTCCTGACTTCAGGGCCATTTATTTTTGGCTTACCCACTCTCTATCCATTATGCCACCTAGCTGCCCCATTTTCACTTTTTCCCTCTTATTACAGGCTTTGCCTATTTCCTCTGCTTCCCTCTCCTGAGATTACGTGACCTCATTGCTGATTAGATCTGAGGACAAAGGTTAGCTTATGTCTCATCTCATCTGCTCGCTTGAGGGAATTCTCTGCTTGTACCTTTCCCAGGCTTCTGCCAGTTGCGCCTTCAGAAATTGTAAGGGCACAGGAGAGCTGGGCTATTTACCAAAGATGCTCCCCAGTAACACTTACCCTAGTTCCACAAAGACAACCCCAAGCAGGTGTGTCTGTAAGGGAGGACCATGGATCTTTACTAAAGGCTTGTTGGAGGGCACCCTGTGTGTTCCTGAGTCATCCCAGTCATTCTCCATCTACCGGGTGACCCAGTCCTTCTGAGCCTCAGACCTTAGATTTTGGCCCAAATCATATACTGCTTTTTCAATGAGAGCTTGCTAGGAGTTAATTTATTTCGGGTCTTACAAATCTATGTAAAAAAGACAGCAGCAACAATCACATCAGACGACAAGGTCACTGCTGGTTACCCTACCTTTACTTAAACTAGTGTATGTTACAGGTAATGGGCTCTCTAGGGTAGGTAGCATGGCACAGTAGAAATAGTCCCACATCTAGGCAGGGGACCTCAGATCAGATCCTGGTTGCCCCTCGCTGTGACCTATGTGACCTCAGGCAAGTTAACAACAACTCTCAGTCTGATTATGCAACTGTAAATTGAGGGATTCATAGAAGCACAGGTTTAGAAGAGACCTGAGAGGCCACTGAATCCAAACCCCTAATTTTTTTTTACTGATGAGGAAACTGAGGCACAGGGAGGTTGTGACATACTCAAGATCACAGTGTCAGGGGCAGGGTTTGAACCACATCTTCCTGACTCCAAGTCCTGTGCTCTACAGCCTCTGAGGACCCTTCCAGCTCTACGATGAGACTGTTCTGATCACCACCTGCTCTTTGTCAGGTCCTCCCCGTGAATGAGTTAATCTCTTCTCTAGTATGGAGGTGCATGGGCTCCCTTTGAAGCCTACTGACCACATACACACTACCCAGATGCTGATGTACACAGAAAACATTGCTTTATTGACTGCATTTGCCAACACACTGAGGAATGCGAAGGTTTTCCATAAGCTATGGGCTGTGGTCCCCATGTGTATTTAAAGCATACACGGATTTTGAACATGATGGCAACGCTGGCAGACAGCGTTATCACAAGGCAACACAAACAGCATGCATTACATGGCCACACAGAACGAGTTGGGTACATTCTATTGCTTTAAGGATTGCCTAACATGGAAAATGTACAAAAAGGAGAAATAGGTCTTTGCGTTAATGAAAAATACATTTTTTCTCTACAAAGGAATCTTTCTAATACAAGAAAATAAATATTGCAACATAAGCCAAAAATAATTTAAAATTGCTCTTTTCAATATATTTTCAATATTTCTCTTTTATATTAACAAATGGCACATCACTTTCTTTGAAACAAAGAAAACAGAAGGCTCTCCTCCTGTGACATTCATATCATTTCCCATCACTGATGTGGAGCAGAATTTCTTTATGTTAAATGGAATAGATTGGTGGGAATTTCCTTAAAGAACAACCAAAGGTAACGTCGTCCTGGTGACAGAATGCTAAATCTCCTGGGGCTTCCCGGATCAGGCCAAGGCCCATTTGCTGAGCAGGTCCTGAGGGTACTCCCCAGAGCCCTGCCTCACCTGTTCTCCAGACCCAGCCCTTGGTAGCAGCTCAGTCAGGACCAAATGGCTCGTTCTTCCTTGTGCTAGCGGGGATGGGGGAATTCAAATCACTACCACAGGTACAAACTGCTCTCCTACACAGACAGATACCTGGCCATCCACTCTGTAGGAACCCCAGTCTAGGCCACAAATACGGTTTTAAGGAAACTCTTGACGATAGGAGTGAGGTGGGAGGGTTGGGGGGGGCCTAGGACACTGATTTTCACACAAAGTTAAGTGAGTCTTCCACCAGCTCCTCTGACTCACCCATTCACACACATATAAACCCCTTCCACCATCTCTCCTCACTCTCTCCCCTTTGAATCCTGATGTGGCTTCTTAAAGGATACAAGGTCCTTTATAGTGCAAAAATTAACTCTTGCAGTTCATACAGTATCTGAAAGTCCAAGCTCATTTAATAAAATAAACCATTCAAACCTCTTTTGTCTTTTAGTTCATCCCAAAATACATTTATAGTACAAAAAATATTTTCAAGTTTTTCTCACCTAGGAGGGAGAGAGAGGAGAGTGTCAGGGGAGGTACCAGCCTGACGGTCCCTGGAACGTTACAATGGAGCAGCTTCTCTGGGGAAAGGGGGTGAGGAAAGTGTAGGGGGGGGTGATGCACTACATGGCAGCAGGAGTACTAGCATCCCACCCTAGCCAATGTGAATCACTGATGGCAAGGGCCTGTAATAAACACCCACTTGAGTTTCTGACAGGGATTAATGGCCATGGGAACGTGTATTGGGGGCCTTTTGCTTAAAATTCAGGCAATTATTACCTGCTCCTTTTCCCCTCGTGCCCTAATGCTGTTCTTGGATTCAACTTTGCTATGGGCAGATACGTGTTGGTGAGAATCCTCCTATCACAATGAAGGGAAGACTAGGAGAACACAGCATTTGACAGAGTAGCGGGTCATCTGAGAGAGAGAGAGAGAGAGAGAGAGAGAGAGAGAGAGAGAGAGAGAG